AGTCCTAGAATGACATGGAATTTTTTAGCATGTATACATTACAGTGGGGTCTTGACCTGCGAACTTAATCCGTATTGGAAGGCGGTTTGCAAGTCAAAAAGTATGCAGGTCAATTCTGCATTTCCCTTTGGAATGCATTGAAAACCATTTAATCCGTATCTGCTCTTTTCCGTCCATAGAAACTAATGGGAAGCTGCTATTCCGCCTTCTGTCACTAGAGGGGGATAATTTTTTTCTTAGGTCAAGAAAAGTTCAGGAAAGGACTGGCCCGCCCCTCTTTCTCTCTCTCTCCCCAGCACGCCTCCTCCTTCTCCGCCGGCCAGCCGGCCGCTCTCTGGGACTTCGCCCGCGTTCCACCTTCACCACATTCCACCCCCCCCACGAGCCACGCCCACCGCCCTCCTCCATTGGCTCTCCGGCGCCCCGGAAGGCGTGGCTTCGCGGTAACCCTTTCCTGCCCGGAGGGGGGGAAAAAGAAGAGGCTTGGGAGAGGCTTCTCATTGGTTGGTGCTGCTGCTCCTGCTCTTCCTCCGGAGAGCCGGAGTTTGGGATCCACGTGGGCAGGTTGTGTAGCCGTGGGTTGTGTAGGTTTGTGTTGGGGGGGCCTGTTGGCAAATCTATAGAGACAGAGAAAGAGAGGAAAGCACAAATGTTGGGTCACCCCTTTTTAACCCCCCTTGTAATCCAGGAAAGCAGGCCCTGAAATCAATCTATTCCTTTTAAAGGTACAAAATATGTAGTTTGATTGTCTTTTTCATTCTGTTGTTGCTCCTGCCTGGAACAGACTGACATGGATAACTTTTGGAAATGGCCGGGCTTAGCTCAGCCAGAGACAACTCAGGTTTTGTCTGCCGAACAGCCTATGCTCAATCCGCTTGTAGATCTTGACAAGATTGGGAAAGCCGCTTTTTGGATCTCTAGGGAGCCGCTGACATCGGAGCTTGCAAAAGTTACAGTGGGCCCTCTACTTACGGAATTAATCCGTATTGGAACGGTGGCTGCAGGTCGAAAAGTCTGTAGGTCGAGTCTCCATTGCCCTACAATGCATTGGAACCCAATTAACCCCTTACCCAGCCGTTTTTGTTCCATTTTGGTTCCATTTTGGTTTTTTCTGGTCTGTAGGTCGATTCTCTGGCTGCAAGTCGAATCTAAATTTTGTGGTCAGAGAAGTCTGTAACTCAAAAAGTCTGTAAGTTGAGCCGTCTGTAAGTTGAGGGTCCACTGTACTTACAAGACTACAACCGCCCCCCCCAGCATTCTTTCAGGTGGTGTGGATTCTGGGAATTGTACTCCAAAAAGTAGCCTTTCCAGCCTCTGCCTACTACTATACCTGGTTTAACAATCTGAACTGATACAAAGTAGATGCCAATCAGATATTTTTAGAGAAGGGAATGTTTGGGATGGCCTTGCCTACTGCACAGTGTGTGACTCATCCTTCTAAGCAAATCTCAGCAGCCACATGTCTTTGCCTGATACACAGAGAATCTCAACCCTGAATTTTAATCTTTAGCTCCACAATCGCAGCGCACTATTGTGTATGCATGGAGGCCTCCAACCCATTTTTGAAGATCTGTTTGCAATTGTCTCCCCGATCATTCTTTAAGATTTTAGAAGTATAACAGTATAATATTTTAACCTCTTGGCCTAGCTACGGGAAGCCAGGTTTAGGCCGAATATCAGGAAAAACGTCTCAACTGTTAGAGCAGTACGACAATGGAACCAATGACTTTGGGAGGTGGTGAGTGTACCAGAGCAGTACGACAATGGAACTAATGACTTTGGGAGGTGGTGAGTGTACTGACTCTGGAGGCATTCAAGACAAAATTGGACAACCCTCTGGTGGATTTTTGATTTGGATTCCTGCACTATTGGGTTCAGACTCAATAGCCTTATGGACCCCCTTAGAGCTCAATTACTCTATGATTCTGTGATTCAAGCTTCTACACATTGGAAGACAAGGCTCATGGCACTTGTAGTGGACAGACGGCCTTTCACAGAGCCAGATACTTCAGGAGCGACAGCTAAACCCAGAGGAGGTGCTGGTGCTTGTAGGTATAACAAAAATAAAAAATATTGTGGGAAGAAGAAGAATTTACATTCAAGTCGATTCTGCCTTTCTGTGTCAACCTTTTTCCAGGGCTTTCTAGGTGAACGTTCAGAAGTGGTTTCCCATTCTCTTCCTCTAGGGGGAGCTCTGGGACTGTGCAGCTTGCCCAAGGCTACACAGGCTGGCTTTTCTCCCAGGAAGCCCAGTGGAGGGAATCGAACTCCCAACCAAGACTAACAAATTTATTTCAGTGTGAGTTTTTGTGGGTTACAAACCACTTACTTCATCAATCTGCTTTTTTTAAAAAAATCTGGCAAAATGGCCCAATAGGGGCTCAAGAACAGCATTTAGGGGGCAGGTTTATATACACCGTATATATGGGGGTGAGGACCGGGCAGACACAGGGATTGAACTTTGAAAGGGACAACATGATTAAAACTGGGAATGAAGTTCCGAAGTATTGATGATTAGATATCCTGGCAATAGGTTGAGCAATTGCAAAGAGTAAATTCCTAATGATCCGCTATTACACAGTAGTTATCCGGTTGGCTTTGAAACACTGAGGAGCTGATGCAATAGGTCTCTCGGCAAACACATTTCGCAGTTTTCTTGCTCTTTCTGGATCATCCAAATCAAGAAACTTGTTCCTTTGCTGCAGCTGCCATGCCAGCTGCCTTCCCAGACTACACTCGAGCCCTTGACATAGACAAGGTTTTGTTTTTCTAATAGTAGAGAGAGTTTGGATATTGTTGGTATTACTTTCAGACTGCTACAGTATGGGTGAAGGAGCATCGTTCGGAGCAAATGGAAGGTTCCGGGTTCAAGGCATGCCATCAATCATGACATCATCAAAAGAAGCTGAACTGGATCTGGCCAAAGGTGTCATCCAGCTTCTACAGGGGCCAAGCAGACCCCTCCTGTGGAAGCCAACAAGGGAGGGTATGAGAGTGGCAGGATCCTCTCATTTAGTCTGAGCAACAGCTGCTCTCTGTGACACCAAATGTAACCGAAAACCATCACAAGGAGTTGGCATTCTTAGCTTTTTCCCCGATGAATTGAACTTATCTCCTGAAGTCCTCCCGAGTGGTGTGGCCACCACCATTCATTCATTCATTCATTCATTCATTCATTCATTCATTCATTCATTCATTCATTCATTCATTCATTGCACTTATATCTTGGGTTTATCCCAATACTCAAGGAAGCTCACAACTTAGAACTAATGCAGCTAATGGAGTACAATAAATTGTAACCTTTATTTATTTATTTATTTATTTATTCATTCATTCATTCATTTAAAAGGTTTTTTTAAAAAAACCCTTTCTCCTAAAAAAAAGAAGAAGGTCCCATCCTTAAAAACACAATATTGAAAAGAGGCTTCAGCGGATTATCGTTAAAATAGTAATCTGTGAGTAGAAGCCATTTTAAAAAATGAAATGTGTTTCTATAAAAGGTTTTTAAAAGTACAAAAAAAGAAAAAGAAATCCACTTAAAAAAAAATCATCAGCCTCCAGTGGGTTGCCAGAGGTCTTGGCTGGTGGAAGAGAAATAGGCAAGGAGGGGCCAGTTTGGCCTCCAGTGGGAGAAGGTTCCACAGCTAA